CTCTGAACCCCTGGTATATTGAGATGGTTAGGTTCCAAAGACAAAGCCATGATGTGAAAATCGGCATCATTAAAAAATGAAGGATGATGATATTTGAGCATGAAATGGAGGATGGCTGCACCATTACAAAACTAAATTTCATCATCACTTAACTGCTAAATTATATAAGCTTGATTAATGTCAAACCATATCATTACATAAGACCAAACTAAATTTCATTATTACATAATGATCAAACTATGAAGAGTCAGAGCATAGCCAAGTTAACACATTACTTTACCTATAAAAGCTGGCTGTATTCTTTCCTCTTACTTTAACACTCAATACTGCAATAGAGCATTCACGGACAGAACTGATAATAGAAGTTCAGTATTGTTATAAATGTAAACTGTTGGATAATGAGATAGTTAACAAGAGAGGAATTAGTGTCCTGGCTTTATGAAGTCTCTTATAAACCCCCAACTCTAGTATCTGTACAATATTTTTCATTTCTTGTATTATTTCTGTTTTCTTTTCTTTCATTACATTTGGACATCTAATTGGTGACTGTCAAATCTGGAATGTTGAGGTTTAATACTGAATATTAAATACATCCTGTGAAAAAGCTAACAACTATCCAAAAAAAGGAGCAGTGTTCAGATTTACAATCTGAGGCAACATAAATAATGAGTTTAGTTCAACACGAATAATGACCTTAGTTCAACATAAATAATGAGCTCAGTTCCAGAAAAAAGAACACTGGCAGCAAAGTGACCTGCTCACTGGGAAGCTAACTGCAAGGTTCAAACACACTAGCTTCCCCAAGGGATAAGGTGAGGCTTTCTACTTCCGTAAAGAGTTAGTCTCAGAACCTCTCAGTGGCATTTCTCCTGTGACTTATGGGCCTATGAGTTGAAATCAACTCATTTTTAGTGTGTTTGGTTTAGTTTGGTAGCTCAAGAAGTAAGGTATGATAGACATATAATGTTAGATATCGAATAAAGTGTCTGGTATTAAAGACCAAGAGAGTGGTATTTTCTTTTTTATTACAAGAGATTCATCATTATCTATTTAATTTAAAATATCTAAAAGGGACTAACTGATAGGAAAATGAAAACATGCTTGTAAAATTTTATTTTATATCGGCCTTTGCCATTTATTAGCATAGACCCTGACCTTGCTGGCAAGGTTGTGGCTTCGTAAACATTTACCTTCATAATACTTAGACTGATGAAGATTTCAAAGTTTACAAGATATGATAAACTACTGGAGGATGTTAACTATATTGAGTAAAAATAAGAAAACAAACATTTAGTAATATCAAGAAAACAGCATCAACTAAATTTCACTTGAAAGGAATTAAAATGTTTTTATTCATTTCAGGCATAATACTTAAAATAAATTTAAGCACTGAGAGGCTTACAACGCTACTGGTCTCAAAGACTTTCTACCCACTGGTTTGTGATCGTCCTGAATTTGGC